TAAGTAAGTAATTGGACCTTGTTTCACCCCTGAATATTATTGTTATCCTGAATACGTAGTGCACCATATAGTTCCTCGTCCAGCTTCCTTAGCCGTCTCGTTCTTCGGATATGGATCAACAGGCCCCATGTGTGCAGAAAACTGGTGAAATTTTTGTCTGTTATATTTCCGATCTGCTGGACAGCTGCCTCGTTTACATAGCTTTTAGTAGAGTGTTTAATGACCGACTTATAGTCACTATATTCGCGCGCACTTAGTGTTCCTTAAATCTGATGTTATAGCTACTTATTCAGCGACTGTCAAGTATTTAATCGTAATTTCACTAGCAGCCCGACTCGGCAAAACTCGTGTTGCTCGCTCAGACTCACTCATAGTGCATAGGACTCACTCGGACTCAGAATCACAATTTCTTTTTGAGTGGCACTCACTCAAACTCACACTTATTAAAATTTTCTTGAACTGGACTCACTCGGACTCAAAGTCGCTAATATGTTACTCACTCAAACTCACTCGCATTCACGGCTCGCTATGAGACTGAGTGTGACCGAGTGAGTCGACTCATGAGTTAGTTCGCTGACCTATGATCTTGAAGGAGTTCATCTACACCTACTACTACTACTGGCGTAAAGGCTCTTCTTCTTCTAACCCATGTAGCACTTACAAATGCCGTATGTTCTCAGTTCTGTTCTATCTCCTGCAGGAGAGCTTCGGCCGTTGCCTGCATACATGCATATTTTGGGGGGGAATAGTCGTCTATATTATCTCTAATATGATATATTTAAGTTCTGCTGTGTCTTCGCCCAAATTTCTGGATTTGATTGAGTACCACCCAACCTCGTCGACAATTATTCTACATGACCTTGTTCCAGAGAGCCTTTCTCTTGGTTTTCTAGGCTATTGTTTTGTGACGCCCCAGTTTCATTCATCTTGTGTGCCGACTGGCAAAGCCATGGTTGTGTTTTCAAGCTTTCGAAATTTGAAACTAGATCCCGACTAATATTGTATTCGAATAATGAGCCTGTGACTATGACATTCTCGACAACAGAGTTTCAAGAACAAAGAATTCTCGAACTAATTTAGTTGGCCTTTATTCTCCTCTCATAGCGAATTTGGTGTCTTTTGCATATCTAGACCTTAAATTCACTTGGAAAGGGTGATTATAGGGAGAGGCACGAGCAATTTTTTTCCTACTAGTAACCCTGTCATACGGGCACTCGCGAACTTGTGCGGCACAGTTCATGTCACACAGTCTCTTTTACGCTCAGAATATTAAACATAGCTTCAAGCTTCTGGCAGAGGAATTTTAGCGATCTCCATCAGCGTTGAAATGGAGGGGTCTCGTCCAGAGTAATGTGTAGTTACGAAACAAATTGCTCAGACAAAAGTGCTGCAGTCATCACAATAATAAATTTTATCGATATTAAATCTTCTTTATTGCAATTTTTAATCACACCGTGCATTTTAAGAAAAAATGATAACATGTACAAGTGCATTTGCACTCCTCGCCATGTTTCACAAAAGGGAAAGTAAACCGTCATGCCGTTATTGTGAATAACTTTCTCCGAGTGCCTGCACTCACTGTCATGTTTACGCCCGTGCATCTCGTTCCACTGTTATTGCGGGGCTTTTTATTCTACTTCAGCATAAGAAAACGTCATAGCAGTGAGTGACGCGGGTTGTTCATGATCCTCGGTGGTCGTGCCGACAATACATGCGAACAGCTTCAGGACCCATCCGCAACAAGGATTTCTTGAACTGAATGTGAGGTGCGTGGTCACCAGATATACCAAGAAATCGATGACAACTTGCATCAATTAAGGTGTGTTTCAGCGTGTGTTTGGCAACCAGCGGGCGTAAAGAAAAAGCGTACCGAAACAAACGTGCAGTCTTGCGATAATCGCTGTAAACATCATTGGCAACGTTCTGGAAAATACGCGTTTCTGATAAAAGCCTAAACAATTCTTGTTCCCATTTGATTTTATAACCACACCTATACAATTTAGAACATCTCCAGCGTCATTAGACGAGAAAACTTGCGTGCAGACGTAGGCACAGGAGTGCCTAGGGAACACCTTGCGGCTTCTATCCAAAGCTGTTAGAATTAGCGTGTGACGTGGCTACAGCTTCTTCTCTCGAACTTTCTTATGGAGTTTTACAATTAGGAAGTTTACCAAAGTTTGTTGGTTCCCGGATAACAAAGGTACAAGTCTTGTCCTTAATGTATCTCCTGTCTATTAGCGCGAAAAGAACCTAAGCAAAAAAAAATTAAGTTACTTTCATGCTAGCGGTGAAGGAAGTGTAGAGCTAAAAATTCTTCTGTTTCTATTCGGTTTTCTCTATTCATTTTTTGTTCTCCTTATGTTATTTTAAGGGGCGAAGCACCATAGGGTCATGGCTTGACCTCTGTCCCGGTTCACGGCGAAGATGACGCTGATGAGCTTTGCAGAAGACCACAAGAAAATATGGGGCTAGTTGGTTCGTTCTGCAGAAATGTTAAGGACGCAACCCAACTAGACGAAACAAAGGAAGACTATGGGATAGTTGCAAGTCGACCTCTTATCCTGTCCCCTTCCTTTTAGATGCAGAGCAGCTTTGGCTCGGGGCGGTGTGCATCTCTCGGTGACCGTTTGCTCTTTTACTGCGCATGCGCCGTCTCTCGCCATTATTCACGTGAAGACGCGGGAGGAGGTGGGGTGGAAGCGGTGGAAGAGCACTGACTCTGCTTCGTTCCACCTTTCCCGCTCATCTCTCCGCCACAGCTGTGCGCTCGTATATGGGCTCATGCCGTTGTACTCTCCTATCAGCCGTGGGTGTTCACTTTGCAGCACACATACATGGTAATACACACATGGGAGGGGGGGTGTAACATTAGCGGTACACAACATATACAGAACTCCACACAAATGGAAAGAACAAAGGGAAACACAAGGGAACACCAGGGCTGCTTCGCATCCCCACATGGTTCCCTTTAGTGGAACGTGGTCTAATTTTCCTTTCGTCGATGTAGGTTGCGTCATAAACATGTCTTGCAGAAGCTCATGGGCGTTCTATGAAATATACTTAGCATCTTCAAGTAAGCCAACGCAATGGCTTTCTCTAAGAAAAAAATTACCTCCAATTATCTTGAAGATGAATTGTGCTTTGAAAAATTAGGCGTTACCTGTGTCCTGCAGCTTTTGTACAGTAACCTATCTTAAATATAACCCGGCTGTGGCGGCTGCATTTCCGAAGGAGGCGGAAATGTTGTAGGCCCGTGTGCTCAGATTTCAGTGCACGTTAAAGAACCCCAGGTGGTCGAAATTTCCAGAGCCCTCCACTACGGCGTCTCTCATGATCATATGGTGGTTTTGGGACGTTAAACCCCACATATCAATCAATCTTAAATATAAGGGCCCGAAAGCGGTCCTTTATCTTATTATTAGCTTACTTCTTTAATCATAGATGAGCATCATGGATGAAAATTTTCGAAGGTGATCTTGACGTGCTTCCTTGTAGAGATTAACACACAATAATTCCAAAAAAAGTAGAGGCGATTTTATGTGTAATGATTGCGGTGTAACTGTGAAGAAAGAAAAGTGGACGAAAAAATAACCTGCCACTGGCAGGGACCGAACCTGCTATCTTCGAACTACGCGTCTGATGCTCCTTTCATCCACTTTTTCTTTCTTCACACTCGCGTTACTGTTACTACCAATAAAACCCCCCATACTTTCCTTGGCATAATTGCCTGTTATTTCTCCTCACTAATATTGTATACCTAACAAAAAAATGAGCCCTTAATAATTTTCAACTTTACTTGTAGGGATGCCACACGTCAGAAGCGGGTTTTTCTTCACTTTTTGTCTTTTTGATACACAAGAGCTTGGTGGTCGTTATCCTGTCTGCATACTGAAGTCGAGGCGAGGGAGGATGGTGCATAGAAGTGGCCTTTGGAATAAAAGTCGATATCTTGCGGAGCCCCGTTTGGTGAAACTGCGAGCGAAATATATTTTGGCGCTTCTGACAACTCATGTGCACCTTCGTTTCGGTGAATGTTGGTGCCGAGCAGACGCACCATGCTGTTGTTGGTGGCCGGAGAGAGGAACATCATTAAGGAAGCTCTCTGTGCTACAAAGAACCTCTCTCGTCGTTGTCTTAGCCGAATGTAGTGCTGTTTTTCTCATTTTTTTTCCTCCAGTATCCTTTACCGCAATGGCTCCATTATGGCTATGGGGCGCTTCGGCTTATCTACGGCTGAGCTCAGCTTCTTTTTGGTCGAGAGCTGTACGCACGCAAAGCACCAACACAAACTCATCTAACCACCCAGAGAGTACTTGTTCGACTTATTTCCCACCATGTTTCTAGTGAGAAAGATATTCTAATTCTACGGCCTGTTTGCAAGCAGGTTTGGTGCTTTGGGTCAATTTTTTTTACCATGTTACAAAATTCAGGAAGCGCTTTTTCCCCCTCTAACACGGCGTCGTGCCAGAGACGGATATGTAGCGTGAAATTTGGTGGCTACGTATGACGTTAAAAGTGGAGTATGTCGATGCACGTGTCTGTTGGATTTTTGGAGCGGGTTTTGGGAATGAAGAACGGCAACTTAAAATCCAAACAAAGCATTGCTTGCGTTAATGATATACCACCACAAAGATGTGCAAGTTAGGCCGTCAAATCTCCTTATCATTGCTCAAGGTAACCACGTTCCTACATTCACGTTATGATTGCTATTGAGGAGGATTAAGTTAGGGAATGTCACTTATTTTTTTATTGTGAAAACAACATTGATGAATATACTGAAAGACAGATGAAAATAGGAGACGAAACGAGCAGTATGCTTTACAGTGCAGCATCAACAATGGCGTTGATTCTAGTTTGGGAGTTATCAGAGAATACGCATCCGAAACGAAGGACGGAAATAAAGACGTAGCCTTGCTTCCCGTATACATTGCAGTCGTTGCGCTTTCAGATATACCATGCATCTTAATGTTTTTTTTTCTGGCCATGTTATGTCGCCGCAGGTGCTCGGGGTATTGCTCCGAATTCGGAATGCTGCTCCGGGATGGAAGTGCTACCTAGATTTCACGTTCACCTTGCTCAATCGCGAGCACTTCTCGAAGAACGAAGCCCTCTCCGAAAAGCAGGTGAGTAGCCTAGTTCGTGTGTGAGCTAGTACAGTGAACTGAATATTTATTTACCTACACTGACGGCCCAAGGGCATAACATACGGAGAGGAAGGGGAGGCGTAGCTCACACACATTAAATCAATAAGAACAATTGAGTAAAAAAATAAAGATTAAAAAAAGTAAGTGTTTATGTCTGAGTTTTGTTTTTTGGGCATGTTATCATGCGGGACACGTCGGTGCATGCGTCGGTGGATAGAGATTAGCATTCATCGCACGTGGCATTAGGGCATCTTGAGAGACGTTATTTTTCCTCGAAGGAAAGTTAGCTCTCGTTTCCTTCGTGCGTCGGCGCAACGGTGCTTACACCTCGGCGTAAGCCTCGTGTTGTGAACAGTTTAATACTGTAGTGTAACAATATCTTTCGTTTACTGTCCTAATAAAGTGGTCAAGATGAATGGCATCATTTCAGTCTAGGGCACTGTTAAAAAGTAAAGTTCACTCAGTACGAAACGCCAGGAATGTCCTAATATTCGATATCACAACAGCTTGCGAAACACGCACATGTATATTATACAGTCTGTCTGATAGCCTTTACCCTGTGCCATTTACACCGGCGTATAATTTTTTGCGATCTATTCTTTTTTTCTAGTAACCATGACAACCAAGTCAACGAACTACTTCGATAATATTACGCATGAGCTTCATGTTTAGCCAACCGCGCATGCTGAATGGCGGATGCAGGTCCGCTTCTCGGCGGAAGAGTCGACGCATGGCGCTGCCCGTTGGATCCTCATCTCTGACCTGCAATCTCGGCGCTTCTCGGACGAGACGGGTGAATTCCTGCTGGAGCTTTCGCTGGCCAACGCCATGACGGTGTTCGAAACAGACATTCGAGTGCCTCCACAGCTACTCAATCACCACCACCACCATCACCATCACCACAGGGGAAGCGGCGCGGGACAGCAGGTGCGTGTAGTCGCATTCTCTGAGCCGTGACGATGCGCTTGGCTTTGAACCGTCATGGACAAGCGCCCGAATTTAATTCACGCGCAATGAGCAGCGTTCAGCCCATAATGGGGTTATACCGACAACGCATCATGTTTGTCACGTCATGTGACATTGTCGCTCAGACACCCATGCTCGGAAACTTTCTGGTATCGAAGCTTTATACTGCGCTTTCTGATTACGACCTGTGGCCAATACCATTCCGCCCTCGTAGTTATCGTTCAAGTGTGACCTGAACTACCCTTAACCATCGATACGCTAATTTCATAACACATTGCTTGTTCTTGTAAACATAAAAGCATGTAGGGGAACTGAGCATGCTGTCGTATTAATCAATCAATAAATCTATTATTCAATTTATTAATTGATACGTGGTGTTTGACGTTCCAAAACCACCCTATCATTATGACAGACGCTGTAGTGGAGGGCTCCGGAAATTTCGACCACCTGGGGTTATTTAACGTGAACTCAAATCTGAACACACGGGTCTACAGCATTTTCGCCAATCAATCAATCGGTCAATCAATCAAATTGCAATGTTTTAAGAGGTGATACATGTGGGTTTGAACGTACAGAAGAAGATCCCATAGCTCATGGCTTCAAGGGGACCTCCTGTTCTCCTGCAGCCCAAGGCTGCGAGTGGATCTTTGAATGAGAAAATGTGAGTAAGGAACAGGGATGCAACAATCATAGGTTGTTTACGTGACGAACACAGTCATGCTAGTAGACGTAATGCTTGAACTTGCTGTTAGAAACTTTGTTTTCAAATGAAACAAAGAGAACATATTATAATTTTCCCTAACATTTATTTTGTTTAGATAACGATGTCTACTAAATTTTTGTGTCACCGTAGTGTGTGGCACTTTGTTGTTATCACCGAGATACCAGATAACAACCAAAGTGTGCGTGCGTGCGTGTGTGTGCGTTGCATGAAAGGCAGATGGCGAAATACATAGTCTCATTCTTGTGACATGTCTTTAGTTACACCGCATGCTGTGCTGCATGCCCTAAAAATAGTGCGTCAAAAGACCTTTCTAAGCATTGGTGCTCAAGATATAAAGAAACGTTCAAAAAACAATGCATGATACTTTGTTTTTTTTTAGTTGAACATGGTCAAATACCTCTGTGCCACCCGATGCTGTCTTCTTTATATGTGTTTTTGCTACAAGGACAAGCAATGTCAGGCAAGTAAGTTTTAGCCGAGTATTGCGATGAGTTGTTTCGTGTGGCAGTAAAAACCAATTGATGTATAGTATAGTTTATTGTTTCTCCAACATAGTCGTTCATCTTCGTTTGGCAACGGCTGCTTCCAGCATGTAACACGAGCCAAGTATTCTCAGTTTTTTGCCACCTAAAAACATATTTAGCGTAATCGACTGCCTGAAGATTCGATTTTTTCAGAGCCATTTGATATTAATATCTCACCTTCCAATTGACACTAATAAATAATCCTGTTGGTAATCTTTATCACACGCATATATTTATCCTACCGAGTTGAATTTTAGAGTTACCTGTTCATGCAACTTCTGGTTTATTTCTTTCGTTTTCCAATTGAGCCGATCACTTTGCTGTTGTGAGATCCTCCTAGACTATAACTGTCACTCAGAGCGGCTCTTATCTATGTCCCTGTTGTCATGTTATTTTAGAGATTGCTTGCAGTTGCAGCTAGAACAGAAAAACAATATTAAGAAAAGAAATAAAATTGAAAAGAAAGAAAGGAAGAAACAAACAAACAAAGCAAGCAAGCAAGCAAGAAAGAAAGAAAGAAAGAAAGAAAGAAAGAAAGAAAGAAAGAAAGAAAGAAAGAAAGAAAGAAAGGAAGAAAGAAAGAAAGAGTACGGAGGCAGAGTAAACAATATTAGGGAATGTTTCCATTGGCGATCGCCCTATGAGAGCTCCCATAGTATTTTTTTTTTATCTGTCAACTGACAGCTAAATATTGCGTACGTCGTCTTGTAGCCCCCAAATCGTGTTATAGCGAGTACGTGTTTCACGCTGTCGGACGGGCGCGCACACACAGGCACACATAAACAAGCGCATCGTACTCGGTCGTTGACAGCGACGCGCAGGAACGAAGTGTTGGCGAGGACACTGTGAAGCGCCGCTGACGCTAGAGAACAGCGCGGCAGCTGCGCCGAGCTTCAAAGCGAGGCTCTCGTTACTACTGCCTGAAGCGAGTTTGCTTCCGCTGCCGCATGACGCATGGACACGCTTTTTGCTCTTCGCTTCTGCAGAAAGACTGGGGCCCCCTCGGTTCGGCACCCGGCACACCAACGGGATCCGGAGCAGCGCAGACATCCCGAATCGAGTCGTCCTACTTTTGCTTCGGAGGTTTCGACTGGAACATCGCGCTGCTGCCGGACGGCTCGCCCGAGGACGGCGACAACGGCCGACCCCGGGTGCTCCTCATCAGGCACACAGGTCGGGTTCCTTGCGCCGCATCAACCACGCCTCGGGGCTCTGGAATTGTTTGTTTACCTAAAGCTCCACGGAGCTCTGACATGCCCATTTATTTAGGTGCTACCAGCGCATATGCTGTGTACCAGTGGGAATCTAGAGTGAGCACGTAATTAGGATCTCAATAGGATCTCTCTCTTTCCCTCTCTTTATATATATATATATATATATATATATATGTATATATATATATATATATATATATATATATATATATATATATATATATATATATATATATATATATGAGATCACTTCACTATATATATGTATGTGTACATGAGAAAGAGGCGTACATCTTGCACTCTGGCTGCCCACACCAGCTCAGCGTGCTGCCAAAATATCAGGACCACCATTTCCCGGATTTAACAAGCTACAATACTTTTCATTCATTTTCATGATATCATCGCAATGTTCGTGACGCATTCGCATTTCGCGTACCTCAAGTGCGGGTGTTTTCTTGCATGTCGCTTCGTAAGCTTTCCGCGTAATCAAATTGCCACGCCTTACTCGAAAATATAATTGCTTGGAAAGACACTGCCACGATATGTTCTGAGGCAATATTGACTATTATTTACGTGGATGCGGACATTACATGCCGCCGCACTTTCTTACGTGAAACGTCCGCTGCTCTTGCGGGTAGATAAAAAAAGGGGCATTTTGAAAGGGCTCCCGCTTGAGACTACTGAGTTGCATCGCATATACTTTTTGTTACAATCTTTTTTCTGTTGAAATAAAGAATGCCAAATCTGGCATATTTTTGAAATCTTTATTTAGTTAGCAGCATGTTTTTTTTTTCTTTTTTCCAGTAAGGCAGTAAAGAACTGAACTTAACGCATTTGATAATCTTACGGCAATAGAGGATTGTTGGTACGTTTTTATGCTTGTGATCCGCTGCAAGTTTAAACACAACCCCCTCCCCCCCCAAAAAAAAAAAAACGAGAAACAACACAGGGTGGTGCCGTATCACCGCATAAAACCGCATTAGCGCATGAGTAATTTTTGACACGTTTTGGTGGCGTTTGACTCCCTGTTATGTTTTGTTTTTCTTATTTTTGTTCTACTGTTTTTATTACTCAATCCCCCCCCCCCCTCTTTCATGTTCTCTACTTGCTCCTACATCAGGTTGTCTATTCCGAAACGAAATAGTTGCTAATTTGCGTGTCACCCGGTGTTGTTTCTCGTTTTTTTTTCTGGTCCGCGTCTTACTTTGCAGCGCCTCAGGTGTATGATGTTCACGCAGCTGCAGATATTTTTAACACATTCAACACTTTTGAATTTCTAGACTTCTTTGAATTTCAATCGAATAAATCTAAGAAGAAGGAAGGGAGGTAGAAGAGGAGACGTTTTCCAGCTGCGTGGGTGTGCCATCAAGAGTTCTTAAGAGATAAGAACTAAGTATTTATTGTGCAGCGTTTTGGTAATCAATGTTCCATGGCGTATTCGCTCGTTCTTCTAGCCTACACCTCTAACCACGTGGCAAGAGGCACGTAGGTTTATTCTGAAACGACCTCACTCTGAAGCATTTTTCCCCGTGCACTATAGAGCCTACTATTGCGCATATCACTAATTCCCTTCGATATATTTGACAGTCATACCACAGAGAATTCACAGATGTAAGTGTGGAGAGACCGTTTTGTCATTTATCGAAGGTGCAAGCACAGTGTATTCTATATGGTAACAGCTCCACTCCTATAGCTTCAAATACAGGCAGTGACTCGTTCCGTTAAACTGACCTTTAAGCTGAGCCAAGCATGTCAACTTCTCTGACCTGCGTCAGTGTCGCAGAATACCATTTACACATAGCCCGCGAGATGGCGCCATGCTCTCGCCGATTATTTCCGGCCGCTGTTTCTCAAGTTCATTTGCACGCTGATTAAGCGTTTTGTTCCACGGGCCTCGCATGTCGTCGCGATTGTGGCCCAAGGGCTTCAGTGAAAAGCTGGTGCAGCGCGTTCGCGCAAACAAAAATTTCCCTCATATTAACTAGAAGCTACTCTGGCTAGAGGCTACTCTCGCGCTGCGATCATTTAGCGAGCGTGCGAACTGGGGTAGTGCATGGATTTGTCTATTTTTCGTACTTGCGGGCCTCAAAACGTACTTGTGGTTTCGTTTATTGCTGTGTTTTGGTTTCGTTTGGAATAAAAGAACAAACCGATTTGAACTTTGTGACCGGATTTGAATTGGTGAGCCTAAAAAGTTAAGGCGGTGAAGCCTAACTAATAAACTATTGCTGATTGTCGTGTCATGACAAAGCAACTTCAAGCCACGCGAAGCCAGCAGGAACGTAAAGTACAAAGACTAGGCAAATCTATGTACTACCCACAATTCCCATACTCTCTGAAGTGCCATGCGTTGAAGCTCCCATAGACACTAGCGCCACAGTTCCCTCTAATGTAATTACAAGAAACTCTATGCACGCAAACAAATAGAGTGGTTCAAGGTCAGTCTTTCGTGTCGCCATCGCCAGAGGCGCAGACTGGGTGCAAGTTCCCTGTGTGTTCGCACCGAGTGTGCCAACGGTGCCGAGAAGCGTCTTCGTTTTGTGTAGTGGTGGAAGGGTAGAAGGGTGGTTGTTGTGGCTACAAAGAGCCGCTGCTTGTCTAAACTGAGACATGTGGTTAAGTTAAATATCTGCACGCCAATCATCTTGCACTTTCCCAGAGTAAGCGAAACCGAGCTGTTACTTGGCAAACTCGTTTTCACCACGTTAAACCGCAGTCTTCATTTACAGCGCTGCGAACCGTAAGTCAGTAATGTGCACCCGGTGTGCAAAGATACTGCACGTTGCATTCTGGTCGAGCTCTTGCGTAAAATAGGACGTGTTTCAAGACGTCAGACAGCGCACGGGAAACAAAACCAGCCACCCTGCAAGGTTTCTGTTCAGCAGCTTCGAAAAGCAACTACAATACAAGGTAAATTTAAGAAAAAGCAGCCGTGACATTTGATTTCAGTGCTGAATTCGTAGTCAAATATGACGTAAGCGATACTGTGAAAACAGTTTTTATTATGCAACTGTAACTAATTTCGTCTTGAACGAGCAGACACGTAAACAAAAAGCACAATTTTTGCCCTCTCACATGGTCTTAAAGCGATAGGTAAGTTGCCAATAAATTGATAAATATAAGTCACTGCGTCGGGACGTAGTGCGTTACTGAGCTGACAGTAACGCATAAAAGTAAGCGTTTTACAGTACAAACGTTTTTATTATATGACTATTCAGCCGAAAGGTCAATTGCTTACGTCAAAACTTGTTAAAAAAAGTAGACTACTTTGCAAAGACTTGCCGAAGAAAAAAATAACTCATGTGCAAATAGGGACGTGACGTCATGGGTTGACGGAGATGATTTCGCCATGCTCTGTTTTATGTGACCCAGTTACTCTTATCGCTACTTAGTCGTAATTACTCTAATAGCTACCTAGCTGTAACTTAAACTTGTCCGAATAATATGGTAACATACTAGAAAAGAACTCAGGGATGCTAAACACCGAAGCAGATTTCTTAAACCATATACTGACATTGATTAGTATCTTTATAGCAGTCAAGCTGCAACAAGTGAAATGAAATTGAACGTCCAGTCCAGCTTTATTTACTTGCACATCTCCGTTTGCGTAATTTCATACAAGAACACGTGCTGCGAATTAGGATTATAAAACGGGAAGCATCAACACCGTGCTAGATCGAGACGCGCTTGTCTACATGCGCGTAGCTTCGTCACATTAACTTTGCGTTGCGCCGTGCGTAGGGGTGGGCTAATGCACATCACCCCTCTGGAGGGCATGTGCGTGCATTGGCCAACACGACAGAAAACCTTGGACTCTATGTGTGTGCTTTAAGCTTGCTTCTTTATTTATAAGCAAATAATGAGGAAATGTCGAGCGTGCCAAATTAGAACTTCAGTGTACCTGAAAGTAGCCACGGAGCCAACCTGAAATCGTTATCATTTGCTGAGGGTCGTAAATTAGCCAGTTTGGCGTAACATAGTTAACAAAAGCAACCCTGTCACGCTGTCTCTGCCACCACGTTAGATTACGCGATGCGAACATTTCGACGACGTATAGTTATATACGCCGAAGGCGCTTCACACGCACGCGTTTTACCTTAATAAGTACGGTCCTGTAGGAGAGTGTGCTTTTTTGCCGTTGCGACTGATGATTCCGGTACTGTCAATTTTCGGAAGCTTGAGATCGGTTGATACGCGTTATTTCGTTTAATACTGATGGTTTAAAAAAAAGTTTCGTGTTGGTCATCAAAATGGCTTACGGGCATGGTTTCCGTGTTTCCGACCTTTGTGGTTTTCCAAAATTCATTTGCTCTACGACTGTGGCTAAGGCTCGCCTGAGTATAACTTCGCGGCTAAGTAGCTTCTGCACAAAATGAATCTCTGTAACTTGTAATGAGGAATGTTATAGCTACATTGTCACTCCGCCGGCGCTGCAATGGTGCTACCAGACAGTACGCGTTCACCATATCCGCGAAGAGCAAAGTGTGCCAACATTTACTGTTGTTTCATGTTGAATTCCAACGGCAGATCCAGATCAAGTTATTTCTGCTCTGAGTGGAACAATCACATTTTAATGGCATATAGGGTGCGTGAATTGTGTGTTACATTGGCAGATTGAGAGCAAGCGCAGATCACGGATTATTTCCATGAGCGAGAATTCTTGCTCCGCTATAATCGGCGGATTTGACCGGAAGTTCAAGTGACGTATTCTGTGCGCCGGCCTTTCATCCAATGACCGGTGGATGTCTGGCAAACGCTTCGCACTCTCTCGCACTCTCTCGTGCTCCCTCGCTAGATTTCCGCTCACCAAGAGCTCCCATCGAGATGCTCGCGTTCCAATCGCAGATTTGGCAAGCGCAATCTCGCTCGGATCTGCGCGCTTCATTTGTGATTTGGCCCAGCGCTCGTGATCTGCCATTGGAATTTAACATCAGATCTATGCTCTTCTGGGTGTGTCGC